CAGGCTGAGGGACCCCCCTTCCCCCCGAGTGCACAAATTTTTGTGCACCGGGCCTCTAGTTCTTATATAATTACTTATTGTCCACCAGACCAGGCTCAGAAAAATCTACACTAATAAAAGAGAAAAATGGTAATTGGCGTACGACGCTACCCTTTACATTGGCTAATCAGGGCTATATGCAAATTAACTGCCAACTCAGATGGCAGTTAACTGACAACAAAGATGGTGGTTAATTTGCATATGTAGGCACAATGCAGGGAGGTGAAAGGGAAAGCGGGAAGAAGCCCCCTGCCACTGACAGTGATCGGAAACCCAGCGGGGAGCTAAGAGCTGGGGGGCAGGGCAAGGTGGCCCTGGGACGCCTTTGCCCTGCCCCGCAGCCATGATCGGAGAATCAGGCGCCTTGCCCGCCCTGGCCAGTGATAGCAGGAAGTAGGGGTGGAGCCAGCAATGGGAGCTGGGCACGGTCAAAGCTGGCAGTCCCGGGAGCTAGGGGTCCCTTGCCTGGGCCTAAAGCGGAGCCCACGATCGCGGGGCGGCTGCAGCTGCGGGTCCCCGCTGCCCGGGCTGGACGCCTTGGCCAGAGGTGTTAGGCCTGGGCAGGGGCAGAGCCTGCAACCGCAGGGAGCTGGCCGTCCCCTGCCCAGGACTGACACCTCTGCCGGAGGCCTCAGGCCTGGTCAAGGGGCCGATCCGGTGACTGGTGATCGGAGGGAGATGGGGGTCTACGCCTCTGGCCGAGGCATCAGGCCTGGGCAAGGGGCAGAGCCAGCAATTGGAGGGGTCTGGAGGTCCCCTGCCCAGGCCTGACACCTCTGTCAGAGGCGTCAGGCCTGGGCAAGGGGCCGATCCTGCGATTGGAGGGTGATGGGGGTCAACGCCTGAGGGCTCCCAGTATGTGAGAGGGGGCAGGCTGGGCTGAGGGACACTCCCCCCCCCTACACCCAGTGCATGAATTTCATGCACTGGGCCCCTAGTTCATAATAAAAATCTGATTGTTTTTCAAACTGAAAACTTTTCAGAATTAGTTAAGTATGGTCCATGTTCAAATTGGATAGGGAAATTTACTACTATCAAGTATAAAATCCTCTATTTCTATTTCATTAAGAAACGTTGCCATGCAACCTATAAATTCAATGCAATCCTCATCAAAATCACAATGTCAATTTTGTGGAAACAGAAAGATCCATCCTAAAATTCATATGGAATTTCAAGGGACAGTCCCCAAAAGGTAAAACAATCTTGAAGAGTAAGAGCAAAGTTGGAAGTTTTATACTTCCTGGGTTTGAAACTTACTACAAGGCTATGGTAATCAAAATTGAGTGGCACTGGCATAAAAACAGGCCCTCAGAGCAATGGAACAGAAAGCCTACAAATAAAGCCTTGCATATCTAGTCCAATGATTTTCAATAAGGGCACCAAGACCATTCAATAGGGAAAGGACAGTCTTTTCAACAAACAGTGTTGAGAAAACTGGGTGTCTACATACAAAGAATGAAGTTTGACCCTTAACTTACATCATTCTATCTAATAAAAGGGTAATATGTAAATTAACCATCACTCTGTGACAAAGATGGTGGCACCCATAGCCACAAATATGGTGGTGCCGGCCGGAGCCACGGAGCTGGCGGGACACTTGGCTTCCTTTGGGCTTAATGCTTGGCTTCCTTCTGGCAGGACACTTGGCTTCCTGCAAGTCCCAGCAGGCCACTGAGGGCTGGCCTCTGGGTGGCAACCACAGAACTGGCTGGAGTGGGAGGGAGGTGGCTCCAACCTGGAGCGAAGGCGGAAGGCGGCGGCCAGAGTGAAGGCCTGGGTCCCGTGGGAAGCTGGTGCCAGCAGCCAGGGGAAGGAAGGCCCATTCTTGCATGAATCTTCGTGCATTGGGCCTCTAGTATATATACATTAATCCTCCTATATAATAAAAGCCTAATATGCTAAGTGTCCAGTCAACCAGTTGGCCATTCAACCAATCAAAGCGTAATATGCTAATGATATACTAAGGCCACGCAACTGCTCGCTATGTCGTGCAATGACCACCAGGGGGCAGACATTTGACCGATCAACCAGTGGCTGACATGAACTGATCTCCAGGGGGCAGACGCTCCGACCAATAGGTTAGCTTGATGCTGGAGTCTGGCTGATCAGGACTGGGCGAGACGGGCCAGACATGCCCTGGAGCCCTCCCATGGCCCCTCCCTGACTGGCCAACCTCCCGTGCCCCTCCCTGGCCCTGATCACACACTAGTGGGTTGTTCAGCCTGGCCTGTGCCCTCTTGCAATCCAGGACCCCTTGGGGGATGTCAGAGAGCCAGTTTCGGCCCAATCCCGCAGGCCAGGCCAAGGAACCCCACTGGTACACGAATTTGTACACCAGGCCTCTAATCCTATATAATAAAAGCATAATATGCAAAGTGACCGAATGGTGGAACGACCCAGTTGTTATGATGTGCACTGACCACCAGGGGGCAGGCACTCAACGTAGGAGCTGTCCCCTGGTGGTCAGTGTGCTCCCACAGGAGTGCCACTCAGCTGACTGACCCGTCCTGGTGGCAGCTACTCACTGCCTCAGTAGTCCTGCAGGTCCAATCTCTGGAGAATGGGTCAGGCACTGAGGGACTGGCGCCACCTGCACGATCCCAACAGTGCCACTGGCCTCCTGGAAGCTGGCCTCGGGCACCATGGCTGCTTCCCCTCCCTAGATGCTCCGCAAGGAAGAAACAATATAAACGTGACCGCCAAGTGGCTCCCGACAACCAGCGTGAACATCAGGGGACAGATCCAGATCCCAGGCCGGCAAGGGTGTCCTACCACCTGTGGGAGGGCCGATCGCATCCCAGCCACCCCCCCTTATTGGGACGGGCGCCAGACACAGGACTCACAGCTGGCGAGCGCCACTAGGGCAGAGTAAACCTCTCCTGATCAGGCAGGCACAGTGGGGCTGGGATGAGCAGGAGCAGAGGCCGGAGCGGCAGGCTGCGGTTTCGGTTTCGGCTCAATCCCTGCAGGCCATGCCGAGGGACCCCACCCACGCACGAATTCATGCACCGGGTCTCTACTATAAATATAACAGCTAATAACTCAGAATAGATCACTCCATAACGTGAAAGCTAAAATTATAAAACTCTTACAAGAAAATATAGAGGAGCAGCATCATGGCACTGGACTGGGCAGTAATTTGTTGAATGTGACACCAAAAGCACAGGCAACAAAATAAAACTAGACCCACTGGACTGCGTCAAAATTAACAATTTTGTGCATCAGTGGATACTACCATTGAATGAAAAGGCAAATCATGCAATGGTAGAAAATACTTATAAATCATATATCTGATGAGGGGTTAATATGCAGAATATATATGAAAACCCTACAGCTCAACAACAAGAATAAAACAACTCAATTAAGGCAAAGAATTTGAGCACAAAGTTATCCAAAGAAGACAGAGAAATGGCCAAAAAGCATGTGAAAGAAAAGATGTTCAACATCACGAATCATCAGGGAAATGCAAATCAAAACCATGTGAGGTATCAATTTACGCCCATTAGGGTAGCTATTAAATGCAAAACAAAACAAAACAAAACAGGGAACAACACGTGTTGGTGAGGATGGGAAGATATTGGAAGCCTTGCACACTGCTGGTGAAAATGTAAAATGGTACAGCCACTATGGAAAACAGTATGGCAGTTCCTGTAAAATTAACAATAGAATCACCACATGATCAAGCAATTCCACTTCTAGATATATACTCAGTCCTGAAAGCAGGGACTCAAACTGAAAACAGGTACCCGTACATCATGTTCACAGCAGGGTGAGTCTAAACCAGCCGTGGGCAAACTACGGCCCCCGGGCCGGATCCGGCCCGTTTGAAATGAATAAAACTAAAAAAAAAAAAAAAAGACCGTACCATTTTATGTAATGATGTTTACTTTGAATTTATATTAGTTCACACAAACACTCCATCCATGCTTTTGTTCCAGCCTCCGGTCCAGTTTAAGAACCCATTGTGGCCCTCGAGTCAGAAAGTTTGCCCACCCCTGGGCTAAACAGCTATTAGGTGGAAGCAACCCCAGTGTGCATGGACAGAGGACGAGACAAACAGAACATGGCCCACCCAGGCAATGGAACGCTATCGGCCTTTAAAGGGAAGGACATGCTGACACATGCAATAACATGGGGAACCCTGAAGATATCCCAAGTGAAATAAGGCAATCACAAAAACACAAATACTGTATGATTCCACTCATATAAAGTCCCTAGAATTGTCAGATTCATGGAGACAGAAAGTAGAATGGAGGCTGCCAGAATGTGGGGGAGTAGGAAATATGGAGTGACTGCTTAATGGGGAAAAATGACATTTTGGAAGATAAAGTTCTAGAGATAGATGTTGGTGATGGTCACACAGCTACTACTGGACTGTACACATAAAAATGATTAAAATGGTATATTTTGTGTTATACATGTTTTACTACAATTTAAACAATTCTTAAACCAACACCTTAATAACCTGAAGTTTTGCAACGAGCACGGCTCCCAGGTTCTACAGTGGCACCAAGTGAGGTTTATCAACAGTAACTGACAGCAGCCTGTGAGGACTTATGCTATGCAAACACGGCCCTAATTAAAGACTGATTGATTTCCTTAACGATAAAATGTTCCCTAAATAGAACTAAGTATAGAAATAGAGACCTGATTTTAGAGGGGCTTCTGTACAATGGCAAGAGGGTGAACAGACCTACCCCTACGGCTTCCTGTGAAGTTATTTCTGGGTGACGCCATTGGATAACAGAAGGTTACCTGAGTCTGTGTTTAGAAACGGATTACAAAATCTGACTTTATGTTGAGTTTATTTATTAAAACTAAGGGGAATTGTGCTCTTTGGCAAATAAAAAACCCACCATTTGCAAACCCATCTTTATGTTTCTTCAAAGTAAGATATTTTAAGGTAAATAGACCAGACATTTGTCTGCATTTAAGCCAGGAGCAGAACATGGGGTCCTTACCTTTACGTGTCTCCTCCGGTAGCCATATGGATGTGGGACCCACCAGAACCTTTCTTGATAGGATGTTGCTGGTAATTTGAGAGAGAGAAACACTTGATTGGATTCGATAGCTACATTTTTGTCTCTTCCACCAGATGTGGGTCACTCTAGAGAAAAATAAAGGGTAGAGAAATGGGGTTGATATTCATAATGAAACAAAATGCCTACATTGGGGCAGTGAGTCTCAGGGAGGTTTGCACTTGAAGACAGTGGCACCGGAATGAGCAGGCTGAGTGGACAGACCCACACAGACGCCACAGGGAGGGGCGGTGGAGACACCACCTCGAATCACACCGATTCATTTCTGATAAATGATTCACTATAGAAAACTCCTTTAGCCGGAGCTCCAGTGGCGTAATCGGTTAGCGCGCAGTACTTATAAGAAAACTCCTTTAGAAAACTAAGTCACTGTGATGTAAAAACTACACAAAACTGTAAACACATTCTTATAAATCTAGGTGTAGGAGTTATTTTGTGATTGAGTCTAGGAAGTATCAAATATTTAGAGGATAATTAGAGAAGCATATGTATGTGTCTCTACACACACACAGCTTGTATCACCAGCAGGTTGCCGTATGTGTCTTTATTTTTGTTTCTCTACTATGAAGACAATAAGTAAGCTGTAGCCCTTTCCATCAAAAGACTTTAGATCAGTGGTTCTCAACCTTCCTAATGCCGCAACCCTTTAATACAGTTCCTCATGTTGTGGTGACCCCCCAATTTCATTGTTACAAATGGAACATAATTAAAGCATAGTGATTAATCACAAAAACAATATGTAATTATATATGTGTTTTCTGATGGTCTTAGGCAACCCCTGTGAAAGGGTTGTTCGACCCCCAAAGGGGTCGCAACCCACAGGTTGAGAACCGCTGTTTTAGAGCATGTTAGTTGCTAACTCAAAAAAATACCTCAATAATTTAAATTTTTATTTGTTAAAACTATAAAGCATTGGGGCTAAAGAAAAACAGATTTGCTATTTCCTTTCCTTCTTTCACTCCCTCTTTTTCCCCACCTTTTGCTTTTCCTCTAAATTTGTTTCCAAATGATGAGACAGAATTCCCCAGGCTGATACATGTAAGTACTTCTCCATATCTATTGTAACTGGATTATCTTTATTCTCATTATGTTAAAAACCTTTGATATAATTTTCATTATTACTGTTTCTAAGTTTATCTTTATTGCTGAAAGTATTACAGATATCCCCTTTCCCCCTATTTATCCCCTGTACCCACTTATTTTTTTAATTTATATATATTTGTAATAAAATATTTTTATTGATTTTTAAAGAGAGAGAAAGAGAGAGAGAGAGAGAGAGAGAGAGAGAGAGAGAGAGAGAGGCGGAGAAACATCATTAGCTGCTTCCTGTGTGCCCTGACAGGGAATCAAACCATCAACCTCTCGGTGCATGAGACGACGCCCAACCAACTGAGCCACAGTGGCCAGGGCTTAATTCATATTTTAAATGTCAAAGAAACAGGTGACCTGCAATACAAGAAATTGGAGCTGCTGGGGAGAATTTCCAGGCGAATGTACTCCTTGCTAATGTGTATTTATTTTCAGTATTTCTTGCGCTTCCTGTTTTCAGTAATGGCTCATGATGAACACAGGCTCAGACAGCGCCTGGCTCTGCACTAACGAGTGTTCAGCAATGCTGAGTGGCCATGTGAGCCTCATGGCCCAAGGGGCGAGCTGACTGACAGGATCTGAGCACCCGCTGACCTCTGGTTACCACCCAAACCACCACCAGCTAGAATCCCATCTGCAGGCCCTCAGAGCGGT